GAGACTTTCAGAGTTCTTCATGTATAAGTATGGTAGGAACACAAATTCTAAACCTAGCACAGTGACTCATGCCTATAATCCTAACTACTAGGGAGGTGGATATTGGGAGGACTGCAGTTTGAGGGCAGCCCAGGCCAGCAAAGAGCCCCACTCAACCAAATAAGAACCTGATATGGTAGTATACACCTGTCATTCTCATTACACAGGAGACAAAGGAGGATCACAGATCAAGTTGTCTCAGGCATAAACATAAGACTTAATCTCAAAAATTACCTAAGCATGCTCACTAGACACTGTGTTGAAAGTGAACTATACAACTTGCAGGTGGAGACAGGAGGGAAAGACTGGGAGTAAGGGAAAGGATGATCCTGTATGAAAGGAAATGTACCTATTACCTGACTTATGTAACTGTAATCCCTCTGTACATCATCTTTATAATAACAATAAAGTAAAAAAAATTTACCTAAGCAAAACAGTCTAGAGATGTGGATCAAGTAGTACAGTGTCTCTAGCAAGCACAAGGCCTTGAGTTCAAACCCCAACCATACATACACATATACACACACACACACACACACACCAACTCTATGACTTGGTCCAGGAGGGCACGCACTTGTTCACCTAAGTGTCCCAGGGTAGGATCCCTGTAAGGCAGTGAACAAGACATGCTTCCTGATTGCTGGTTGGCCTCAGGGGCATTCAGAGCCTTGACGAGACTAACAACAAACAAGGAAACACAAACAAAAATGATAATAATTGTGATGAGAGGGGCGGGGTCCTCAGCACCACATAAGCAGAAAAAGCCAGAAGTGGCGCTGTGGCTCAAGTGGTAGAATGCTAGCTTTGAGCTGAAAAGCTGAGGGACAGCATCCAGGCCCAGAGTTCAGGCCCCACGACCGACACCCCCAAAAAAAAATTGTGATGAAAGAAATCATCATTATCAAATAACCAGTCTAGGGGCTGGGAATGTGGCCTAGTGGTAAAGTTGTTGCCTAGCATCCATGAAGCCCTGGGTTCGATTCCTCAGTACCACATAAATAGAAAAACTGGAAGTGGTACTGTGGCTAAAGTGGTAGAGTGCTAGCCTTGAGTAAATGAAGCCTGCAAACCTAGCTACTCAGGAGGCTGAGATCTGAGGATCTTGGTTCAAAGCCAACCCAGGCAGGAAAGTCGGTAAGACTCTTATTTCCAATAAACCACTAGAAAACCGGAAGTGGCGCTGTGACTCAAGCGGTAGAGCGCTTGCCTTAAGCTGAAGAGTGCAGGGACAGCATTCAAGCCCCATGACCGACAAAAAAATAAAAATTAAAAAAATTAGACAATATCAGCAACAAGACAGACAAGGTGCCAATGTAAACCATGCTTAAAAGAAGTGGTCGGAGCTAGGAAGGTAGCTCAGTGTTAGAGTGCTTACCTTGTATGCATGAAGCCCTGAGTTGGATTCCTCAGTACCACATAAGCAGAAAATGCTGGAAGTGGCACGTAGCTCAAGTAGAGCACTGCAGAGCTGAGGG